TACCCTTACCATTGGAACACAAAGTACCTAGAATTACAGTTGACACCCAATGGGAGCTCAGTAAACATATATGCACATGAAATTAGAGAAATTGAATAATAGAATCTTCCTGGTTTCAGATTTCTAATATAAAAATGAATTTCAAATGAATAAGTTTCTTGCTACTTTCCTAGGATATCTTTTTAAATTTCAGCAGGACACCAAAGACCTTTTATTACATAGAAGTTGAGAAAGAGATAAGAATTTGGGCTTGTTATTTGCCTTTATATATGAGGTGGGAAACAAAACTTATTTGGGGGATAGAATTGATAGATAACATTGTATAAGTTTAAGGTGTACAACATGTTGATGTGACACATTTATGTATTGCAAATTATTACCACTCCATCATCATAATTACCATTTCATTTTGGGGGTCAGTACATTGAAGATCTACTCCCTCAGCAACTTCCAAGTATATAATACAGTATTGTTAATTATATTCACAATCCTGTGTGTAAGATACTCAGAACTTATTCATCTTTTAACAGGAACTTTGACCAACATCTCCCCATTTCCCTCATCACCCATCCCCAACCCTTGGTAACCATAGTTCTTAAAAAACAAACAAAAATTGCTTGGTTAGAATTAAATGGAGTCATGAAAAGGGGTTGACAGCAGTGGACTTGAAACCACAGTCAGCCTACTGAATGTCACAAATACGCAATCAGCTGAAAGAACCATAAAGGCAGGCACATTTATATGGCACCTGCCCTCCAGAATTAGTTTCTTTTACCATCCCATTCAAACACATGGAAGGGAGGCTCATCTAGAATGACTACATAAGTTAGGTTTAATGAAATGACTTGAATGTACTCCACTCACCCACAAGTGGTCATCTTTTTAAATCCCTGCATCAGAATCCCTTTGGTTCCACATGTCATAAGTGACAATTAAAATTACAGAAAAAAATATGATGTGGCAGTCACTGACCATCTACTTTTGTAGTCTCTCTCTGATGTCTGACATTACAATTTCGTTCCCATTTCAATCTATAGCGTCAGGTGTGTGTGTAGTGGAGAGGGTGTGTGTGTGTCAGTGAAGACACTGGAAAGAATATTTAAATTTGGGATAGAGAGTTGAAAATATGATAAAGGATAACTGCTTAAAGAGAAGTATCAACTAGGAATTTTTTGGATATATAGAAAGTCTTTGTTTTTCTAAATTCTATTTCTTTGAGGTGCATCCATATGACAGTTTGATGTGGAATTGTTGGAGCCTATCTTGGAAAGTAGAGGTCAGAGAGCGGAACTAAACCAGGTCTTAATTCTTAACATAATAAGGTGTAAGGCATTGCAGCAGAAGGAACAGTGTTCCCCAAGAGTGGTAAATATGCTCGTGTTGGTTTATAGGGTACATGGTCAAATGCTTTTTATTTCCAACTGCTTGATAGACACATAATTATGTTCATTTTAACATGTATTAGGCTATGATTTCTGTACATTATTTAATCATATAAATATGTATATCATTTAACTATACAAATCATGATATCATGTATATTATTACTTAGAATAATAGTGATAATAAATTTCCTTAATATCATTCAAGTAAAGGAAGTCAGATGGATGGAAAAATATTCAGTAAAAATGTGTGGGTGGCACACAAATATGACGAAAGTTGTGAAAGAGGCGTATGAATTACTGAGGTTTGAGAAATGCTAGTCAAAGAACTGGATATATTCTTTTAAACTAAACACTTGCTACCTGTCATTGTTTTATGAATGAAAGTGTTAAGGAAGTAGAGATGCATACGTTATTTGTTTTTAAAGTGCATGAGATGAATCTGTCCTGAGTATCATCAACCATGTTCCTGTGCTAAATCAACCATTCCGTTGTGGACTGTGAGAGAAGCTGTGTTTGTTCATAACTCCGGGAGGTGTATAATGAATGTCTACAGTGCACTCTTTCACAACAGCGCTATGCAAAGTAGGAACGTGAAACAGTCAACACCATAGGACTGGTCCAGTGGCCTGGATAGCTTCACCGGGCCTGCAGTAAGCTAGTTCCCCATGCTCTGTGCTGTCATCAAGTGACTTAACGGCTCTTGTTTTTGCTGAGCTAAATGCAACATCTCGCACCAGCTTTATTGGCCTGGCAAAGTTGCAAATTTTATTACGCAAAAGTTGAGAAGGAGCAAAGCTAAAGAGTGCTAAAAACAGTACACTTTGCTACTGTGTAGTATCTGTATTTGGGGCTCAGAGGGTTTATTTATAGATATCTATTAATACATAGCAAGAGATACAGAAAGAAACATAAAAATACCTTTATCAAATAGTTTAGAGAATTCAAGTGTAACAGCCAAAGAACAGTAATAGCAAACTGTTCCACTGGGGGGAAAAGCCATCCTCGTCACTTCTTCTCTGCCTTCCCTTTCCTCTCTGAGGACTGTGGCTACAAAGAGCCTCTCCCTTCCTAGGTCTTGGAGGGGTGGGGTGTGGAGGGAGGTGGGATCTCCAAGTTTATTCCTTTGTCCAGCTCTTTTAACCTCCTCCTCTCCTACCTCCCTCTCTAGCAATGCTTCAAGTGAAGGAGAGGTGGGAACTTCTAGCTTGTAAAACTGGTTTGTTGGGCTTCTTTCTCCTTCCCCTCTCTTGCTTCTTGGGAAATTTACTTGCTGGGCAGCTGCCTGGCAGTGCCATAGCTGCCTTTTCTGGGTTTGAAAGGGCTTCTCCTTCCTTCTAAAGAGGGCAAAAGGGGCTGCCGTGAGAGGTGGGGGTGGGGAGATGGACAGAGAAGGCAGATGCCACCATTCCCCATGACACACAAAGAGAGAGAAATGGAAATACACACACATACACAACTGTACACATGTTGGAAACGGGATTCAAAGACATGGGCCAAGATTGTACAGTACTTGGAACGATGGGACCCTCCCAGGTCTGAAACCCTGTGCGTTTGCTTTAGCAGAGCCCTAGGAGGCCCAGGGTGAGAGGTGTGGGGCCAGATCACTGCCACCCACTTTTTGTTTTTATAATTAAAATACATTCACAGGATTTTACAGGATGACACAGACAGGAGATGAGAGGAGGGAGGGCTGTGGGAAGGCGTGTGGGCAGTTTAATTTTGCTGCATTTCTCCACCTGAGTGTTGGGTGCTGTTGGCACCTGCAAGGGCAGCCTTACCAAGGTGGGGGTGGCTGCGGAGAGACGGGCTTCCCTGCTGGGGGGTAGCCAGGCAGGACCCAGAGAGACTGGGAAGGGGGAGGGCCATTATTTCTAGGGAGGAGCTCAGGACAGGTTGGTCCTGGCTGTGACCAGTGTTTTGTCAAAGTTGCAAGGAGGTTAAAGAAAGGGTGTGTGTGTGTGTGGGGGGGGGACCCCTGCCAACACACATTTCCCACACCACCTTTCCCTTCATGGGACAAGCTTGGATCTTGTGAATGTGACATCAGCTCTCCTCTGCTGTCCCTGTGGTCTGCTGGGGGGAGGAGGTTGGGACACACTGGCCAGAGCTGGCTTCCTGCTTGGTGCCACCCAGTCCTAGGGGCAGCTGTGCCCACCCCAGCCCCCAGAGCTGGGCTGAGGTCAGCATAGGGAGAAAGCAGAGGGCCCAGGCAGAGGCCCCAGGGGAGTGGGTGTGGAGGGAGGATCCTTGTCTCTCCTCCAGCTCCAGCTCTTGCTGGGTGGCTCTTTTAGGGGACAGATCTTATTATGGAACTGACACTGATACTGTTACTGTCTCCCCAACTGTGGTGGCTCCCAGGGAGGTCCAGGGGACCCCAGTGTGCTCAGGTCCACAGCTTTGGTGTTGGAATAAGACCTGTCCTTTTGATTCTAGAGGTGAAGAGCAGGCAGGGAGAAGGAGGAAGAAACCATTCTTGGGTTCCTCGTGAGTACAGTATTGGAAATGGGTCCACATTTGAATCCTCCCCACTTCCCCCTCCACAGGTGAGGACATTGGAGTGATACAGGATGAGGACATGGAGGAGCCATCTATCTGATGGAGTCCCTAAGTGCTGGATGTAGACTCATCCTTTCCTGTGCAGAGAAGATGCTCTGAGTTCATCCCATCGGCCTTCGCAGTGCACTGTGGTTACCTGGTGGGGGTGTGGGGGTGGAGTGTGTATTTCAAGGTTAAACAGGCAGGAAATTGCTTTGATAATGTAAATGCATTACTAAACGTGAGGCATTGTCTGATCCCTTTGTTCAGCATCCCATTTCTCCTTCCCAACACCACCGAGCTTTGTACAAGAACACCCCTTCGCCCTAAATGAAGGCAAAGGAAAAGTCCCAGGAAAGGTGTCCCTACGCAGGGAGTAAATGGCATGTTCTGAGGGGCACCCCTTTCCTATGGGAGGCGCCATTCCTTGCCCTGCTGCAGCTCCCACCTCAGGTGGCCTTCCCTTATGTTATTTGGAAGCCAAGGCTTTTATTTTCTGTCTCCATAAAACATCAGCCCTTTGCTCTTCGTCTCCCCCTGGCGTTCCTCTTCTGCTGTTTCTTAAAATTCGTGTTACTGAACGAGGTGTTCCCCACAGGAGAGAAAGGTGGGCACAGGAAAACCTTGGGGGTGACTCCTCACCACTGACACTGAAAGAATTGGGTATGACCTGAAAGCGCTCTATTTTTTTAAAAAAACTTCCTTTCTTTGCGATGACCTCTTTCGCCGTGGACGCAAAGAAGTTCAGCAAAAAGGACTTAGGGGAGGGGCTCGAAGAAAGAGAAAAAAGTTGGATATTCCTAAAAAATTTGTCCCCCAGTGGGGGGAAGTGACTAGGGAGAGCGCTCCCTTGTTTGATCAACGCTAAGCAATCGGAGGGACATAAAAGGAAAATGAAGCGAACAACAATTTTAAAAAAATTCCCCTCACACAATACCATCTATTTAAACGTACTCATACTTTTCATACCAATGGTATGACTTTTCTGGAGTCCCTCTTGTGATTCTTGAACTCTGGGGCTGGCAGCTTGCAAAGGGGAAGCAGACTCCAGCGCTGCACGGGCAGGTTTACCAAAGGTCTCCAATGGGTATTTTCTTTTTCTTAGCCCTGCCCCTGGATTGTCAGACGGCGGGCGTCTGCCTCTGAAGTCAGCAGTGATTTCCTCTAGAGCCCAGCCTTATCTCCGGCTGCACGTTGCCTGTTGGTGACTAATAACACAATAACATTGTCTGGGGCTGGAATAAAGTCAGAGCTGTTTACCCCCACTCTATAGGGGTTCAATATAAAAAGCTGGCGGAGAGCTGTCCAAGTCAGACGCGCTCCTGCATCTGCTGGGGCGAGCCGCGAGGGTCCCTGGTCTCCGCTGCTGTCCCCGACGCCACCGGCTGCGCGCGTCCTCAGACCGCTCCCACTGCCTCTCTCCCGGCAGAAACTTCTTTCCTCCCCGCTGAGGAGCTCCGGGGCTGCCGGATCGGATCGCTCTGAGAGCAGAACAACCAGAAGCGCTTAGGGGAACTGAAGCGGCGTCTCTTCGTTTCTACTCTGGGCTTAGTTTGCAGGGAATTCTGATTGTTTTCAGAATGGATTACTTCCCCGTGATTTTCTCTCTGCTGTTTGTGGCTTTCCAAGGAACTGCAGGAACAGGTAGGCGCGTTGGCTTGTAAATCTCTGGATGTGAATGTCTTCTTATCCGCCTTAATGCTTTCCTTGCTTCTGTTTCCCCCCTTCTTTTTATTTCTGTAGCTCAGATATCAAGTCTCTGGAAATTACTACTCAAAGCTACTTAAATTTTCTAGTGGGGGAAAAAAATCCACTATTGAACACAATTGCTCCTGGAGCATTAAAATGACATTATTGTTATTGCACAGTGTACTTAATTGGCTTTTAACAATGAATTCAAGAAACATAAAGACAAGCTATAATTTAGCCAAATGTATATTTGCAATGTATGTGTTCATACAGGTAATAGGACGCATAGGAACGGAGATCTTATTCAAATGCTGTTTTATTAGTGTGTTAATCTGCAAAATATTTAAACCTTTCAGCTTGAAGCCAAGGAATTTTATTCAAGCCATCCAAGCAATATTTGAGCAGTAAGATCACCTGCAGAACAGTCTGTTGAATAACCCCCCCAGGCGGTTTCAGGGCGAAGCAGATGTTTTCTTTAAAATTTGTCATTATTGACTGTAGGTTTCTTTTGGCAGATTTTTGGCACCCAGAACAGTGTGAGCTCTATCTTCAGTTTTGTTCACCTGTCCTGGGAGGGGAGCTGGGATAAGTCTTGGCTGCTTACAGATTTAGAAAGAACGTGTGCATCTGCCCAGTCCCCCTTCTAGGGTCAATGCACTTGTTTTGTCTTTTCATGACCCTGACTAAAGAGAAAGGATGTCAAGGGAATGAAAATCCTGGAATGTGTCTGATCATGTGAAATGTACAAAATTGGGCAGATAAGCTGCATGGCTAACTCATCAGGAAGAAGAGCCGGTGCTGCAGCGGGAGCGGGAGGCGGTGATCCCACACATGCCCGCTGCCCTGGGGACTCCGAAGTCAACATCCCCAGAGCCTTGGCTAGGTCCCCCCAGCCGCTGCTCAGCTGCGCCTTAGGTCAGTGGTTTCTGTGGAGGTGACCGCCTGGAATAAATGTGAAGAGCGGCTTTCTCTTCTTTCCCTCCAATCATCCCCCCAAAGTTCTTGACCTCCACCTAATTTCAAAGGGTATATATCACCTGGGCCACTCTCTGCCCTACACACATGTGAAGTGGTGGGTACGCCCCTAACCAGAAGGCCATTCTGCATGGGACAGAGGCTCCAAACCTCGGAACAGGCAGGGGATTTATTCAGTTCTAGCCTTTTTGTCATCCGTCAATTTTAAGCCACTGCAGGTTGTGCTGTCTGTCCTACTAAGTGTCAGGCAGGAGCCAACCCAGATTCTAACAGGCAGCATTTACACGCATTTCCTTGAAGGTTGCTTCGAAGGGGCTGGTAACTCCCTTTCCAGGTGGTTGTTTCTTCTGCACTTGTGCAATCTCTCTGAAGGTCGATAAGGCAGTGGGGTAAAGGTGAAGTCATGGTAAGGAGGGAATAAATGAAGAGCCCTTTCCCTCTGTGTTCCCTGCTGAGGGCAGGCTGTAGGCTTCATCTGCTCTGTTCTGCTCTGCTCTGCTCGTCCTGGCATCCATCTGTGATGCAGTGCACCCCTGGCCTCCGATGGGACACCCCCACTGACCTGCTCTTTCTCTCCCCAGCCGTCTTGGGCGCTGAGCTCAGCACGGGGGCGGACAGCGGAAGAGAGGAGCCCTCTCCCAGTGCACCCCGCCGCTCCAAGCGCTGCTCCTGCTCATCCCTGCTGGATAAAGAGTGTGTCTACTTCTGCCACCTCGACATCATCTGGATCAACACTCCCGGGTGAGTCTCTAGAGGGCATTGCAACCCTAGTCATTCCATTGCTCTGCCTTAACCAGAGAGGGGAGCCCAGTTACTTTCCTGGGAAGCATGCAGTTTGCTTTTCTGCCAACATGGAACTGACCCCTGGGGAGGGCGCAGTGCCCCTCCATTCCTGAAAAGAACAAGGCAGCTTGGTTCTTAGCAGCAGAAGGGAGGGTCTTCTGAGGCCTGTGGCTCAGACCACTCATGGCAGGAAGACTGTGAAAGACCTGACAGCAAGCAGGAGGCTGCCACACATTCTGAGGAGAGACTTCAAGTGTGGGGACAGGGGAATGGTCTCTCAGTGGGATCTGCTGGGGTTCAGGGAATAAGTTGCTGAGGTCACATGGCTTCTCATGGGAGGGTAAAGACTTAAGAGGCAGAGAGATCAAAGAGATTCATAATCCAATCCCTCCACTTTATGCAGACAAAAACGGAGACCCCAAACATTGAAGCCACTTGTGCAGGAAAGAGTTCATGGCAATGCTAGACTGAGAACCCGGGAGTCCTGACTCCTCTGTACTTTGCTGTTAGAAAAGCCCATTTCAAGACAGTAATAGAAACATGATCCATAGATGTCTCTTTTGCTTCCAGAGTGAGGAAGGCACTTTCCGCCCTTTCCCCCTGAAAAGTAGTTCACCCATCAGAAGCAGTCATAAACAAAACCACCTTTATGGTGCCTGCAGGGCCCCAGTATAGTAAAGGATGACCAAAATCAAATCACATTAAACACACCTACAGAAGCCTAATACTTAGTAAGGTGGATAATTCTTCCAAGGGGAGGACTTTATTTCTTAAGCAAGAATCAAAACAAGCACATTGGAAATTACTGGAGAGCATTCTGGCAAGGAGTCCTTCTATGGTCATATCAGCAAATTGCAGACATGCCAACCTGGGCATCCTCCCGCCCCCTCAGAGGGGACTTCTAGCCTTATCGTAGGATCGGAATTGAACACAGGTATTCCAAGTCTTGCGAGTCATGGTTTTTAAGTCTCTATACCCCTCCCCCCAGTATCTATTGCTAAATGGAATGTTATAAAAGGAAGAAAATATGAAACAGATACTAAAACAGAGATGTCATAATTTTGGACCAAAAAACAATGCTGCTTGTGTCGAGAAGAAATTGAACTTTGTTAAGAAATGGAATTGAATTGAATTAGAAAAACTGGTTTCTTCTGGTTGGGTATATACATACACTCAGGGCCCCTGACAGACGTGTGATCCTAACTTGTCACACCTCATGCTCCCAAGTTTTGCCACCAAACAGCATGTGGTGAGCTCCGTGTGTTCCAATGGGACGAGTTTACCCCATAGAATGCAGCGTTTTGAAGACTGTGAATCATGCTAATATCTTTTGTTTCTCTTTTGATAATAGGAAAATTGTTCCATATGGACTTGGAAACCCTCCTAGGACCAAGCGATCCTTAAAGGATTTATTTCCTACAAAAGCAACAGACCGGAGGGACAGATGCCAGTGTGCCAGCCAAAAAGACAAGAAGTGCTGGAAATTTTGCCAACCAGGAAAAGAACTCAGGTGAATAGAAATACCTTTGCTTTCAAACAGTTTTATGTTCTCCTGACCTCCTTCCTATTATAATGCTGCAAATAAGAAGCACAAACTTCCAGTAGTAAAATAAGTAAGCCATGGGGAGGTAGTGCACAGGACAGAAAAAATGCCAATAATATCGTAATAACTTTGCACAGTGACAGATGGGTACTAGACTTATGGTGGTGATCACATCTCAAAGTCTATAAATGTAAAATTACTATGTTGTACACCAGAAACTAATATAATACTGAATGGCAACTATACTTTAATAAGTATTTTTAAGAAAAAGAGATTAACAGAGACATTGTGAACAACTGAAGGTACCATTGCTGAAATGTTTTTCCCTGCGTGTATTTTAACAGGGACCAAGACACTATGGAGAAAGGCTGGGCTAATCACAAGAAAGGAAAGGACTGTTCCAAGCTTGGAAAGAAGTGTATTCATCAGCAGCTGGTGGAAGGAAGAAAAATGAGAAGGTAAGAGGCTCCTAAGAACCACTAGTTCCACCACCAATGCTAATGGACTGCTCCCCTAGCCACTCTTAGCTTGACTGGAGAAAGGCTCAGGAAACAATAGCAAAGGGGCTCTTCATAGTCTATAGATTAAAAAGAGCAAAGGAATCCCTCTCAAATCTTTTTCTGAAGGAGTTGAAAGCAGGTCGCTGCCGACTTTGGCGATCTTTAGCACACGCCCGTCAGTCTAAAGGTCGATTTTTCCAAACAAAGTATATCTCCAGACACCTTTGTCATTTGGTCATACCCAGTCTTTGCCTCTCTGAGTCAATACTTTTCCCGAGAACCTAAAAATAATTTCAGGGAGAGGTCTCTCTCTCTCTCTCTTACTCTTTTTAAATCAAAGTGTCATGTATGATCAAGTTCTTCAAACAGCAGCAGTTACTCAAATGGCCAAAGGGAAAATAAAGTTATTAGGTAAGGTTGGTGAGAGTTAGAACATGCCGTTTTTAGGGTTTATTTATTTATTTTTAATAAGGGAACACATTTGGTGGAGAGCCAACACCATTCCCAAAAGCTCGCTCGTTTTCTCGTTAGGCATGAGCTGGGGCAGAGAGGAACCTGGGTTAGGCAACCCCATAGGCTTGCCTTGAGCAGCTCCACGGTGATGACCCTTTCAAACCCTAAACGTTGTGGAATTCGCAACCTGGAGGGAAGAAACTTGCTTTCAGATCTGTCACATGTCCTCCACTTCCCTCTCATGGCCTGTGGAAACTTTTCCTAGAAACTCAGTGGCAAGACGTTCTATGACCCAAGTGTTCTGTGCACAGGCCTGGCCGTCATGAACTGCTTCTGGGTTGTTTACTACGAGGCATGGGACACCCTCAGCTGTCTGTGGCTCCAGACTTGCCAGTGCAGTTTCCGTAGTTATGTTATGACCTCAGGCCACTCATGCTCCCTAGATCCCAGGATTACATAAACCACAGTTTCTGAACTGACCTAGAAATTACTTTTTATCAGTTTCTGTTATATAAACTATTATATTTTGCAACTTGTCCCTCTTTCTTTCTCCTGTCAAAACAAACAAACAACAACAAAAATATTAAACCTTCAAAAAAAAAGTTTGTTTTAATTGTCAACATTTGCTTTGGGCCTACGTGTAGTGTATACCTTTTAAAACTTTTTTCCCACTAAGGGTGGGATGGGGATACAAAAAAAAAAGAAAAAAGGAAAAGAGCATACCTGTAGTTTACCTTAAAATTGTACTTTGAAATTGTATTTAATGCCCAATTACCTTTAGATATGAGCACATTACTCTTTCTCTCTGCACCCCTTCCCCATTTTAGGCACCAAGACAGGCTTTATTTGCACCTGGGGTTAGCAAAGGGCCCATGGTGGTGAAAGTTCAGAAACCAGAATTAAATTTGTTTGTGCCAGACTAATTTCAGATATGTCTTTTGCCCAGGAATGATTTTTTTTTTTTAAATCACATTTGTTTTCTCTTGTCTTAATAGGTTGGAGGCCATCAGCAACAGCATCAAAACTTCTTTCCGTATCGCAAAGCTGAAAGCCAAGCTCTCCGGAGAGAAGAAAGTGACCCACAACCGAACACACTGATTACAGCCGTCGCGTCCGAAGCCTCCTCCTCCACAGAGACAGCGTGCTGCGCGGCTGGCTGACCGCTCTCTCTCCACACTGGCCTGCATCACAGCAAAAGCATCCTTCCTACTTAGAGCATTTCTTGCTCCAGCCTGGCCACGGATCAGCGTCCTCCTTCTAAACATTCCAAAAACGGTTAAGGAGTCCCCTGACCCATCTTCATTGACTTCCATCAGTGGTAACTGCTTTTGTCTGTCCTCCTTTGGAGTGACAATGGACCATTCTGAGAAAGCAGAGAGACACGATGACTTGTAAATTATGGTGGCTTCCTCCACAGGGAGGAGAGGAGACTCCACTTGCCGGTGGGGTTCCTGAAGAGGGTAGGAAGGAAGTGTTTGTGTCTCACTCAGGCGCCCGGCACAGTTCAGGGAGAAACTGCATCGTCCAGGAAGAGATTTCCTAAGGAATGCACAAATTGAAAACATACTCGAGTTAAAAACAACAACAACTCCAAAATCTTTATTTTTTAATTCACAAAATGCAAAACTGAAACTGTTACTACTATAGATCAGGATGTGTTTCATAAATATGAGTCTACCTCACCTGTATTGCACTCTCGCACAGATATTTTCCCACCTTTAATTATTGCCTCCCAAACTCTTCCCCCTCCCCTCCTGTTACCCCCTCCCCTGATACCTCCATCCTAAATCCTAGCCTCATAGAAGTCTTGTCTAATGTGTCAGTGGTAGATATAACATTTTCATGGTAATCTACTAGCTCCGATCCATAAGAAAAAAGATCATTGAATCAGAAGATTCCCTTACCTTGATTTTTGGAAACGCAATGGTATAGGGTTGTTTATGAAAGACATTGAAGAGTAAACGTTGGTTGTGCTTTAAAGCAGTAAAATTATTTTTCTTTATGTAACTGGCAAATGGAAGAGATTGGATTAAATTTTGATGTACTTATTTTTTTATAGATATTTATATTCAAACAATTTATTCCTTATATTTACCATGTTAAATATGTCTGGGCAGGCCATATTGGTCTATGTGTTTTTTAAAAATGTATTTCTGAATGAAATTGAGAAAATGCTTTGTTTTGCCTGTCAAGGTAATGACTTTAGAAAATAAATATTTTTTCCTCTACCGTACTGATTTTGAGTCATTTCTGAAATTCCTAAGAAGTGGGCCAAAGTGGTAAGAATTACGAAGGGAAAGGATTAAAGCTGATTTGTAAGAAAGGTGACAATTAGAAGGAAAAAAGTCTTGGCTATTTTTTTTAAAAAAGAACTTGATCTGCAACTTTAGTTGCCTTTGGATCACATTAAAGTAAAATCAAAACCGAACCCAGCTTTAACCCCCCTGTCTTTCCAGAGTAGCAGCCTTCTGTTTCCCATTCACCTGAAAACACTCCAGGGACTGCATTCATTAGCTTTGCTGAGGCTACTAGGCAGGATCCAGCAGTTCAAGCTGATGTTGTGGTGAGAGGTGCTTTCTCCATTAATGGGCTGAAGGAAGCAACGGCAAGGCGACCTCTCCAAATGTGCTCAATTATACAGTTTCACACCCGCGAGGAAATGGCTGGCTCAGAGCAAGCGAGGGGCCCCCAGTGGCTTTATATTTGCACAGAGTAAGCATGTTGTTTATTCAGGAACACTGAGTACCCTTGATTCTTCATGGTAGCCCAGGACTGGACACATGCCTATGGAGGCAGAGGAACCAAATGCTGATCCTAGGTCTCCTGCAGCCCAGCACCACCCTCCTCTCCACTCCGCCTCAGCTGGCCCGGCAAGACCATTGCGGGTAGTAATATTGTAAATGGTTGTTACCAACTGAAGCCCATAGAGCTTGATCAGCTTATAAGAATCCTCACCACCCTTCTCTACTAGTGTCTGAAAGAATGTCTGGCATTCAAGAAATATTAGCTCACAGGGATCACTGTTGTCCAAACAGTGACGCATCTGAAAGATGTTAAATAACAGCCTTCAGGTGTGCTTCATTCTTTGTCAGTGTCCTGGACAGAGTTTCTATTCTTATTGGCATTGTTTCCCGTCTTTCACTTTTTTTTTTTAAAGGGACAGTGCAATGTCTTTGGGGAATTGCTTATAAAGCTCACTTTATCTAGCGAACTGTTTTCTCAGTGTGTGGTTCCTGAGGAAACTGTGACAATTTGTACATTTTGACAAGGGACTTGGCCTGAATTTAGCCACTATTTCACCCTCAGCAACCATTCAGTCTCCCTGCGTTTTGAGTTTTCTCATCTGTTAAGGGGGTTGGGGTGGGGATTTCTCTAACAGCTTCCAGAAAGGCTGAGACCAAAAACAAGTTGTGTTGGCACAGAAGAGTGAAGGTCTGAGCGTGGAGGATGTGGTCTAATACTTTTAAGAGGGATTGTAATGAGGAGAAACCACTGAGGAAAGAACAAAGGTGATAACATTTTCTTCCTCTTCCTTTAAAAAAAATATTTGGACTTTTAAAGCTGCTTCCCCCAAGTTCCCTGCTTGAGTAACTGGCAAGAAAAGTAAAAAGTATGAAGCCACTCTCCTAGGGCATGAGGGTCAGTAGTAAAATAAATGAAAAGGTTCACAGAAAATGAATATTTAAAAAATATACAGAAGATTCAATATTATTCATGGCTCACGCCGGCTTGAGGGGTGAACTGATGGGACAGTCTGTCATACTTCCTGCAATATTTTTAGGCAAGTGTGCTTTTTGGAAGCCCATTTAGGACAGATTTCTCTCTTCACACTAATTGCCAGGCAGAGCTTTGATCTCAGGACTCTCAGGACTCCAAGGACGAGAGGATCCTGGGTGGGCAGTGGTGACCTGTGGTGAAAGGAGGGGAGCCCACTAATGGATACTTCATCCCCCAACCCCAAGGGAATGACTTCTTTTGTGATGAAAACCATTGGCTTTAACTCTGCCCCTGCTTCCTGAAATACGTAGGGCATTATATACCAAGTAGAGTTCTCAGCACTCAGGATATCACACTAAGCTAGAGCTCTGCTAGGAAGACCCTAACGATTTAACAGCAATCCCTTATCATTGTAGAGGACTGTGTTTCCCATAGACTTTCACATCCCTTCTCCTATTGGACCCCCTCTGCCAACAATCTTTTGGGGATGTTGGGGCCATATTTTTATACCGATTTGACAGCCCAGGAAACAGATATACTGTGACTTGTCCAGACTCCTCCCTTCATTAGGCAAATAGCAATACTGAAACTCAGGACCCCTGACCCTTACTCCTTAAATTTCCTCAGAACTGAGGGGATAGCACTGGCCCTGAAGTTAAATTATCCTGCTAAAACTTAGGAGGGTAACTAATTTAATTATATTGAAAATCTTAAAACAGCACAACAACAGCAAATGGAACAGAATTCTTTTATTTTCAAGTGGTATTGAAATTTTGGGACATGCCTTTAAAAATAAAAGAAAAACAATTGTAACAAAGTTTGACTAAATTTAGATAAATTAACTAAACTTGTATTTAATAAAGTGAAATAATTCCACTGGAAGTCTCTTTCCTTAACCAAACAAGAAATCATTTTATAGCTCAAATGTTCTGCCAATTCTCTTTTTGCTACATGATCAAAAATGTGCTTTCACCATGTCAAGAATTCTCACTTGATATACACATAGAAATTGCTCAACCACCTGTCAACTTAAATATCTTCTCCAGGAACTTGATAAGATGCCAATTACTCTGCTATGGACATTGCTCACTGGTTTGTTCCCTCATAACTGGTTCATTTTGCTCTGAACAATGGCTATAGGTGGTGTCCCTCAGTTTGGTGAAAGACAAATGCACAAGACAATAAGAAGATGATTTTATTCAGGATATTACAATAAAGAAAATGTTCATTAATGAAGAATATTTCAAGTGAAGGAAGGAGGTCTGGGATTTTTACAGAGGCTGGTAGACAAGAAGTTGTCTACGAGTCTTATGGGAGTCATGAAGAAGAATGGAGATGGTCTTCTCTAAGTTGTTGAGAAAGGATTGAGGGGATTAAGCAAGTGCAGGGTGGTCTTTTGGGGTTAGCCATTTCTTAGAACACAAAAGGGGAAGGGAATTTCTTGACCCTGCTTTTGGGGAACACAGGGCTCAGATCAAGTTCAACTTTATCATCCACCTTTTTGTTCAAGATGAATATCATTCATCACTAAACAACTCAGCAGTGATCATAAACCTTCTGAGTGGGGTAAATTGGGGTTTCAGAAATAGTTTCTAAAGAAATCTATCTTCTGCAAAATCAGTTGAACCATCTGTACAGAAGTGATATAAAAGGTCAGTGATTTTAGGGTCTGGGAGATCAAACCCCTTAGAAAAGAATGCCTAAAATGAAAAAGAGAAATCTATACTAATAATAGCCTAGGTGGTCATCACACCCTGACGTCGTCACAAGATGGCCATCACAAGATGGCTTCACACACAGTTGAGGCGGGGCCCAACAGCCGCTCCCCTTGGTGAGGCCTGGGGGTCTTGCGGCTCTGTGCAGCGTGGAGGAGGTTGGTCCCAGTGGAGGAGGTGGGTTGCGGCAGGGGTGGGCAGTTGTGGGTGATCAAGCTGGCAGGGGAGGGCAGTTGGGGGCAATCAGGCTGGCAGGCAGAAGTGGTTAGGGGCAAACAGGCAGGCAGGCAGGCGAGCAGTTAGGAGCCAGTGGTCCCGGATTTTGAAAGGGATGTCCAACTGCTGGCAGTCAGACATCCCCTGAGGGGTCCCAGATTGGAGAGGGTGCAGGCCAGGC